GCATGCTAAGTTTTTTTTTTACTGTGCCTATTATTTTTTTAAAAACTTGTTTAAAGCGTCTCTTTAAATGTTTGCAAACAATTTAAAACACATAAATTTTTAAACCATAAAAAGGTATATCTGCTTTTAATTTTTTACATAATGAACAGGGCTGGGAGTCAGTTCCTGGAACATCTGACATAGTAGAAAGGCCCATGTAACTAAGACATGCAGTTACAATTGCATTTAAAGAGAAATGTAGAAAGCGCAGATTTAATTGGTGTCACAACTTCGTTGTTCTTATTAGTTTTACTATAGTATGGATTAACTCTGATCAACTACAGTATGGATTAACTCTAAGACTAAGAGAGTAGCCTAGCAATATTGTGTATCTCTCATACTTTTGGGGGGGATCCCTTTGAGTCTGTGTTGACTCCTGGTGACTGCCTGTACTGGTCCCTGCAGTTTCTTGGCAAGATTTTTGGAAAAGGTTTGCCATTGCCTTCTTCCTAGGGCTGTGTCAACCATTCAAGGTAGATCAGACTAGGAAACCAAAGTCATGCATGCTAATACTACTTTTATTATAAGGTTACAGTAACAAAATCTTGCATATCTGAATATGCTTCCCCCCTCCCTCCCTTTGTGAGAACTAGGAAGGGTTTTGTCTGAGACACTTTCTCAGGTTACCGTTCTGGCCCAGATTCAGATTTCTTTTATCTGACCATTGTCTTGGTTGGGCTCTTCCTTGTATTCCTCAAGGTTATGCCTTCTGCCCATTACAGGCTGAGAGAGAATGACTGGTCCTGAGTCACCTAGCTGGTTTCATGCCTAAGTCTAAAACTAGACCTCATAGTCTCCCGGTTTCTAGCCTGGTGCCTTAACCACTACACCAAACTGATTTTCTTATCTCTCATTCTGGCTAAGCTTAATTCAGTTTGGAATCTAAGCATTTCACTAGCTATTCTGCTGCCATACCTAGCCTTTTTGGTCGAGGAAGCTTTGTCTGTACTGCTTCTACCCCAATCAACAGACTTTAGTTTTGTCCTAACCATAAGACTCAAAAGAACCAAGGAAATTCCCTTTCCAGTTTTCATGTATATTTGCATGATATGTTCGGCTATTTAATCAAACTTTGCAGCTCATCATGTCATCTGAGTGCAAAACAAAGACCGTTTGGGTTTTCCACACACTGGGACTGGTATGCAAAAAGGGCGGGGGGGTTGCCCTATCTGCCACTCTGCCCAATTTAGGCACATCATGTTGCCCACCATTCTTGCTATCACTGTATGCTGTTGCTATTTCTCTCATATACTTGGCTGTACCAGTTATCAATCAAGTTAGGCATCTGCTGGGGATAGGCAAGTGACAAAACACACATAAGAATGTCACTACACAAACCATGTGACTTACCTACTTGTGTCTGACATCATGACATAAGTACAAAAGAGTGGGGGTTGAATCACGAAGCATATTTTGTCATTTTTGCACCATCACAGTTAATAGTACATCTATGTCTTGATACCTGTTATGGCTCCCATACTGCTTCCATCCCCCAAAGTCCAATTCCTTCTGTTCCTGCCAATGATCCATCACTGTGAAACACAAGTAGGGGGAAAAGCTTTACTAGCTTTTCTTCTCTCTATCCATTGACTGACAATGCATGCAGTGTGAGTCCAGCTGAAAGGGACTTGCCCTGCTCCCTTGTTGGGCACAATGGCTAAATACTGTCCGTTTGTGCTTTCAGGTGCAGGAGAGGAAAAAGAAGTAGACTTGTGTTATGAAGGTGGATAATGGTAATTTATTAAAATATTTCAATTTCATTTTAATAATTAATAATAGCATGTACTTGTTCATAGGTTTGCATATAATGCTTTAGTAATATGGGTGTGTGATCTTAGCATGTCTTTCAAAGTACCTCAACTCCTTAGAAACATAATTTTTTGGAGAGACTAATCATAGTGCCATAGCACTTCTTATAGTTACAGATGATGAAATAGGGAGTTTGAATTAATGTAATGCCAAATATCTACATTATTTTTCTGGTCCATACAGGATACAACTTCTTTCTCTAAAATGTTTATGGTTCTATTCATTTTCACCTACTATTCCTTTCTGCCCCTTTGCTTCCTTTTGCCTCGTCTACTAATTCTCACCTATTTAAAGCCTAAGCACACACATCACAGTAAAGAATGTGGCCACCCAAGTTGCTATACAGTATATACTCCTTTTCAGCTTTAATCCTTCTGTAAATCAACAATCAACAGAAAATGAGTTAGGTCTCCCTATGGCAGTGATAACTTTTTTCCTCCAAAATTGGCCTAGCTTAATTTTTGAATGGAATAACCTGCAAAACTACTAAATTCTGTTCTTGTTGAAGCATTTCAAGCTGTAAGCCATAATAATGTAATTCTAAATATGTTGATTCATAAGATGTACTAGCATCAGCTTGCCATCTTTTAACCTTATCTTTCATCTTCTATTTATTTTATTGTAACTTAGTTTGATTTTTGTGAGCTGCTCAGAGTGGTTGAGAGTTGGGCAGCATACAGGTTTAATAAATTATTATTATTACAGTATTATTATTATTATTATTATTATTATTATTATTATTATTATTCACTGATAGTTCTT